TTTTTTTTTTTTTTGGGGGGGGGGTTACTTACCATGAGTTTCCAAATAATCTTGCAAGTGCTGGTGCTCTGTACTTTTTAATGATTGCTCTATTGTGATTCGTAAAGATAACATTTAAGCCAAATATAAGCAGACCATAAGAAACAGGAAAATACTTCAAATACATCATAAGGATGGCTCCAACCGACCGCGTGCTCAGTGAATACCTCAGGCAGCAGAAACCCAAGAAAGAAGAGGATAAGGACGATCCATCATGGACTATACTGTACTATACTATCTGTACCACCAGCAGACCGAGGAAGTGGCTGACATCCAGAAGTCCTACCAGTGGCTGGACAAAGCTGGACTGAAAGACAGCACAGAGGCACTAATCATGGCAGCACAGGAACAAGCTCTGAGCTGGGGTCTATCACATCAGGCAAGACCTCAGGTGCAGGCTGTGTAAAGATGCCCCTGAGACAATCCAGCACATAACAGCAGGGTGCAAGATGCTAGCAGGCAGGGCATACATGGAACGCCATAACCAAGTGGCCGGCATAGTGTACAGGAACATCTGTGGCGAGTATGGCCTGGAAGTTCTGAGGTCAAAATGGGAGATGGCCCCAAGGGTGGTGAAAAATGACCGAGATAAGATCCTGTGGGACTTCCAGATAAAGAGAGACAAAATAGTGATGGCTATCCAACCGGACATAGTGGTGGTAGACAGACGGAGGAAGACGGCCGTAGTGATAGATGTAACAGTTCTGAATGACAGCAACATCAGGAAGAAGGAAGCTGCAGAAGTATCAAGGGGTCAGAGAAGATGTGGAGGGTGAAGGTAACAGTGGTGTTGAGTCTGTGTTTCCACAGGCCCCGCTAGTTTAGAGACTTAATCCTCATTAAGAACGAAAACAAGACAGAACATCTTCAACCGGTCTTTTACTCGCTAACGAGGGAGAGCTTTGGTCAGAACGAGGCAGTGGAGCAATGCTCCTCACCTGTCTCTAGCCCAAATCCTTCAAAAAGCAGCTCCCCTTGTAGACTTTTTATTGACATGACGGTTACAATACACATCACAGCACAAGCACCTCCCACCGTAAACCAATGGTTCTAAGACAAGGCACTATGTGTGTCTGTGTATGTGTGTGCAAGAACTTGTGTGTGTGTGTGTCATGGGGGTGCATTTGTGTGACCTGCTCACCAAAAGGGTCATAAAAGCAGGAAACTTACAACAAAAGAAACAGATCTTTCAGATAAGATGTATCTACAATAAAACCTCCCCCACCACAGAGTGGCTGGAGAGGTCTACTGCTTGAACTAAGACTTTACAAATTTAAGAAACACAATGACAACATTCAACAATTTGACTTAACAAGTGGTCCCAGTGGTAATAGGAGCACAAGGTACAGTGACTCCCAAGCTAGGCAAGTGGCTCCAGTGAATCCCAGGAACAACATCATCAACAAGGGCAAGAGGTATGTTTCTGTTCTGTTACAGTCCACAGCCATACTCAAGTATTCAGCAGCCAAAAGTATTTTTGTTGTTTGAGGAAGGAAACCTTACAGTACTGATCGCCGTTCATTTCTAACATTAATCAAAGTTCAGATTGAAGATGCAAAATTGACACAGAACTCACACAAATAACAAAGTTAATAAACAAAGGCTGGGTGGAACAATAGCAGGCTGTTAAATTAAAAAATGAATTCCAAGCCGTGGGAGATAATAAAGGAGAATGAGTGGCAGTATCAGTGGAAGAGAAGGAGAAACAATTATTGGTGACAGACTGGGCCTGCAGTCTTTATAACTAGGTGTATGTTAACAACAAACACCATAAAATAATATCAGGATGACAGACAGAAGATATTGTTTGTGTTCCTGTACATTTGTGTGTCAGACTATATGCGTGGCCAACCTTTGTCTCTGTGAGTTCCAGGTTTAACATTTACATAAAAACATAGTTATTTTCAGCAGGAGACAGGTTCAGTCATCCCTGTGATAATATTTTTTATCTCAGCTGGTTTCAATTCTTAAACTGTCAATCAGACAAGATAATCTGACAAGCGAACACACTGTGAGAGGTAAATCTGAGATACTTATTACCATACCAACTTTTTAATGCCATAAATTGAGTTTTAAACTAAAAGTGACTAACTAAAACTGAAAAAACCAAAGTCACAATCTTTTAGAAGTTGGATTTAAGGTGCACTGACTCCACATGGGACATGTCATCTGCTGCATGTCACCCTCTCGTCAGTGAAGAAAGGGGTTTATGACTGGATGTACGTTTGCCACTTTTGTCATGCTGCTTTGCAACAGATCGTGAAAGAAAGAAAAAAAACTCAGCTTTTGCACAGCATGACAAATATCAAGTACTATTTATGCTTTTTCATTGTATCAAAACCTGCTTGGCTAGATTATGCAGCAGCTATTTTAAAATTTTATTCATTCAGGAGAAGCAGACAGCTGCAGAACTTCACCAGAATCTTTTGGGATTTAACCAGCCAGTCAAAAGTATACTTCACTAAGCTCCTGGCAACCATAAATGGAGATGTATACTGATATACAAATATGTGGCACAGTGTTTCATCAGTGTGATTGAAAACAGTTTACATAGTGTATATATATATTTTAGTTTGTATGTATATTTGAAGTTAAATGTTTTCATATTTGTGCACAGAGCTTTATCTGCTGTACCTCATATTAATATGTTCAAAATACCCTTTAAAAAACCATTAGACTGCTAAGTTATCTTTACTACCTTAATTTTCTTCTTAAAATTCTTGTTAATTTTATGTAAATCACCAACTGATAGATGCTTTCAGTGAACAAAACAAGTCCATCACAGCTGTCACAGGGCGAGAGGCTGCGTACACCCAGGTCACTACTCTAATGGACAGAAACAGCTCGCTCACATCTACTGCCGATTTAGAATCACCAGTTAGCCTAACAAGCAAGCTTTTGGACTGTGGGATTGAGCCAGAGTCCCTTATAAAAGATGCACACTCCACACAGAAACGTCCCAGCTCTCCAGTGCATTCGAATCAAGGACACTCTTGCTGTGAGGTGACAGTGCAAACCACCACACCACTGTGCCATTTTAATGTTTAAATCGAGTGCACGTATTTATGCTGGTGCATCTGTTAGAAACTACTTGGGTTAACCTTATTTCGTAATGCTGTCCTACTCACAGTGATGTGGGCCGGTTCTGCCGGCTGTCCTGCTCTCCATCATTGCTTGTCAGGCTGTGTCTCGGGGTTCGACCTTGGCTGCTGCTGCTGCTACTGCTGCTGCTGCTGTTACAGTTAGCAGACGAGGACACCGAGTGTTGCAGGTCAGAAGCTGTGGTGTTGCCAACACTGTTCCTTTTCTCACCTGTAAGAGTAACTGTGTGAGTGATGTATTCCTTGGGCCTTTCTCATTTCATAAAAATGGTTTAAACTATTTAGAAAAACTGGCAACCACTCTCACTGAGATTAAAACTCATCTGAGATTTTTAGTAGATGCACCTATGGTATTAATTTGAAAATCCTACGTTGCCTCGTTCTCAGGTTATCATATTCACTAAGTCGGGTGTCAACGCCACCCGTTCTTCCGCTCACCTGGTGGTGTGACGAAAATACTCCAACAGCCTTTTACAGCTGAGAGGTAAAAACCTTCCATTCTTATTCAGTGTAACAGATTACTGACCTTTAGGGGTCACTTTTTTACGTTTTTCACCCCCCCACCTTACAGCATTATTTTGGGTGCTTTATTCAAAAGTACAAAAGGTCATTATGAGGTTTACTTATCAAAGCTGTTAGCAAGGAAAATTCTGCTGCAATCCTGCATGTCTGACAAACTTTCTCCCTTTAATAGGTGGCTGAAGGAATTAGGATTAGGAATTGTTCTGTTTGTTGTTCGGTTTGCGTTGTCTATGTTTTAATGCAAACAAACAGATGCTTTTAAAAAAAACAAAAATTAAATAAAGAAATCCTAAAAAAAATAAATAAATCATTTGCATGAGGTCATGTCCTTCATCTTACCCTTGTGGGCATGTGTCGGGGTGTGGAAAAGCGTGAGTGGCCTTTCGCTGCAAGAAGGAGTTTTGCTGTCTGTGCTCCTCCTCCTGGGCGTTTTCAGCTGCGTGTTGGACAAAGAAGAATTCGGCATGTCCCTGAATATCTGCACAAACAAGACAATCAGAATTAAATACAAACTAAGAAACAGCACAGTGCATAAATATGTAAATAGTGCTTTGGCAAATTTAAACTTGATTCCAGTGATATAAAAGCAAACAATAATTCACCGCCCTTGCCCATTATGTTGAGGACAGACATTAATTCATTTGTGAGCAGAAGCATTACACTGAATATTAGTTCCTGGATTTTTTTATTTTGCAGCAGAGCTTCAACCATTGCAATTACAGAACACTGCAACAAAGCTGCTTGCAGCTGCGTGTGAAATGTCTTTTAAATGAGAGTAATTACATATGTAGAGATTTAACAACAGGGGACATTGCTGGGTCTAGTCTGAGACTTGTGGCAGTGATCATGGCATTACTGAAATTTTCTTCCACTTTAAGTACAGTCAGGAAAGTAAAATCCCCACGACGTGATAAAAATAAACACAGGCAGTAATTTTTTTTTACCTCCGCCTTCCTCGAACCGATTACATAAGTCTATTAGTTTTCAAATATGCTTTTCAGTTTTTATTGCAGGCTGTGTTAATCGCCTGTGACACTGTACATGCTTGTTCACTATGGTGAGACAAGCGTGTTAAAGATTTTTGCATTCTTTTACTATATTTTCACACATTCCAGTAGATACAGCAGTGGTCTGGGAAAGTCAAAAGACTGAGGAGTGCCAACTTGAGCTGTGTGTTTGTCTATGTGTCTGTATAAATACACAATGTCCGTATAACGGGTGCATTTAATCTCTCTGCAGTTATGCTACTCATTAAGGTTATGCATCATCTTACCCTCTCATGGTGCTCTATGAGGATCTCCACAACAATGTTCTGGAATTTAATGTCCATGATGGCTGCAACAGTCTCCTCCTGTGGGCGGAGAAGAGTTGGTCCAAAGACTACACCCAGATTGGCAATGGTCATGAGGTTTTGTTGATGGTGACTGGCCACACTATTAAGGTTACACAAAGAAAAGGGCGACACAGTAAATACAAATTAGAAACGTCGAACTTGACACGATTTGAAGCTACAGTTACCGACAGTTTTTTTCTTACATTAACAAAGTCTCAAACGACGCATCACTCACATAATTATTACCTAAATATACAGCCTCACTTATTTTACCCATTTTCAGGAGAAGCAACTCTTATTTTTTTTCTCCTGTCTGTAATAACAGAAGTAACACTAACATATATGAATAAACAAACAGACAAAAGAAACACATGAACAAGAGGAGCCTACAGAGAATTTATAGAGCTTATCTTGGAAAAGCAAATGTGTTTTCACTGCATTCAGATCGCAATCCTGATTTCAAAAGCTGCCAAACAACACAGGTTACAAAAAAAAAAAAGAAACTCATATAAAATGTAAGAGCTCAGTCAAGATCGATCGGAGCATTGCCTGAGCAGTCCAAAAAAAAATGGCATTAAAGCAGGAAAATCATAATGAGGGAGAATATGTTAAACCTGATTGTGACATAATAATACATTTGGCTTACACTTATGCTCTCATTAAATCTCAACCATTACAAACCTCATTGTATACACTGAACAATGCAATAAATCTTAAATCATGCATGAACAAAATGACACAGGGAGCTGAGCTACAGTGTGATCCAGCTACCTATGAGCCTGTGATGATAATAGCTATTGGCAGCTGTAATCCAATAAACCCAGGTAACATGTCCTCAGAACTCTCTGCAAATGCGCTCACCTACATGTGGTTTAAATGTGGCTTATGTCCTCATTACCACAGATTGTATCATGCTGTTGCTGTTGAAGAAAAGCCAGATAAAGCCATGGGGGCTTAGATGCGGGTTTACACTGAAAACACAAAGCAAGGTGGGTGCTTTGGAGAAATAAGTAGACTTAAGCTAGCGGTATGATGCTATCTCTGCTTATATGTTACAGCAACTTGCAGAATGTGACCTGCAGAAAGACAATGGGTTTTATTCACAATTTCTCTCACCTGTACAATACAAAGCACCACTGCTTGTGTACAGTACAGCAGCATCTAAAGCATTGAAGCAAAAGTCTAAATTGTGACAAGGGGTTTTACGGACAATCTGATATCCTCGTGTTGGCGTTGTTCCTACATCATCATAATAAATGTTGTTCCAGGTTCAACATCGCGAGTGACCTTCTTGTGACGTCATACTTCTGCGACTTCGAAATACCCACCTTAAAACAAATTTTCTTCACTTGTGCCC